CGCTGCTTACTCCCAATACCCATGGCCGCAATTCTTGCTTTTTGACCACGTGGCCATTTTGGTTCTGCCTGAGATCTCTTAGGCGGTCATAAATTTCAAAAGCTGTGAGTGCGTCTATCACCCTTCATAACTTTTGCCCGTCCCATGCGGGCGCGGTTTTAGCTGACTTTTTGAGCAGTGAGAGCAAACGCAAAACCAGACTGGTCAGAGCAGGGTTAATTGCACTCTTGTCAAAGTACCATATAATTATTTTCTTCGTAGGCATAGCTACACTTTAGATAGGGCGTAAGACATGATTTAGGTGTTTTAGTGTGGTCATGAAATTATTGCTGCACAAGGATGAACTTGGAAAAATTTAGAAGAAACACCGCTGATGCCATGCGGCCTAGGACGCGTCGACCGTCCGCACCCTGGTTGCAGGTGCGGACGGACGCGTCGCACCTTGGTTGCAAGGATAATCACAAGCGGTAACCACGCCAGTGATGTTCTTATTGTATCATGGTCGTTTAGTGCTAGAAAATAAGATGTAAATAAACTTTTCAAGAGGCAATGGAAAACAAAAATAAATCCAGTGAAAATAGAAAACGAGAAACGCATAAAGCTAGAGTTGAAAAAGGAGTACGTAAATGAGTAATTTGCCACGCGATATTAATATCATTCTTTGTGGCATGTAGACGCTTTTTCGAGTATTTTTTTTCAAAAACAGAAAAGGGGTGTTCGTTAGGGAACTGTGCTGCCAAAGCGTTGTCAAAAGTCAATATTTCGTTACATCACCTGATCTCCTCGGCTGCTCGCCGGCGCAAATGAACACGTGATCTCTGTCGGGAAAGGACAGGACATCGTTTCTGGGCTTTGCAAAATGTCGGGTTTTCATCTGCTCTGTACAGTATAGTGACGTCACTGGTGCCGATACGTCAATGTGGCGCGGCCGCTAGCCGTGGGGCGTAATGCTGCCGGACAGCCGGAGCATCGGAAATTCTCGCACAGAGCATGACCAAATTGCTAGTGGAAGTTGCATATGACCAGCGTGGATATTACAAAGAATCCAGTGGCAGTGTATGATGGAGTGATTTGCAGTCCTATGCCGCAATCCATTACATTTCAGTGACACAAGAAGTGAGAACGCTCACACGAGATTTATTCGAAAAAGGACAGCCAGAACATCGGGCTCTCTTGGCACCGGTACTAAGCGAATTGTTAGCGTCAGGTGCATTTTAGCAGGCAGGCAATCACGTCAACGTCAACGTCAAATATGGTAACATGCTTGTCAAACTTAGGCGACAAGCAATGACAGAACGTTTGTGATTGGCCCAGCGAGAAAGGGCCTATTACCGAGAAGCGTGTTGGTTGAAGTTTGAACCAGCGCACTGCATGGATCAAGTGATGTTCCCATTTCCAGACAAAGTGCGCCCCAAAAGAGCCCTGCGTTAAACGTCATCGTCTAGAAATCAAAGCCACAGTATAACGTACTGCTGACAGACCTCACAGACATTTCGTTTTTTTTTTTAGAAAGACCTCTGTTTGCAAACATTACAGCAAACATGCGTTGCTGAATGCGAGGCAAATTAAATGTATTGCTTTCATAGTGGTTAGCAAGGAGTCAAATGATATTCCTTCCGGAGGGTCGGCCATTTGAAAGCAAAACTCTGAGCTGGTCAGGAGGATTTCAGAAAAGCTGTCATTATGAAAAATCAAATTATTTGGCCCCAGGTTGATACCATTTTGGGAGGCTTTACCGATTCGTTTATTTGCAAGGATTTCAATTTGTACAGTATAGAGTTTTAGTTCCACATTTCAAGATATTGAGGCAAGCATCATACCTGTCGGAAATAGCTTTCTGATAACTACTGGTATGCTCTTTGGTATAAATCAAAAGGCTCTACTTGGTATTAAGTGTACTCTCCATTACGTCATCGTTTGGTTACGTCATTGAACGTTTTTGTGATGTCAGAGTCGCTACCAGAGTGGCATAGCTTGTCATTGTTCCGCCGGTAAGGCTCACTTATAGTACTTCCGCGCGCCACAAGGTGGTGCAAGCTGCCTATGCGTTAAAAAATATGCCATGAACGTCATGTGCATGCGTGTTGCTCCTGGTGTTCGATACGTTTTGGTAATTGCATGATAATTCCAAACATTTGGAATTTTGGTTATTACGTTTCTATTAAATTAGTCAATTCACAACCCGAAATCCACCATAAGTAGTGGTTCACTTTTCTTGTTTAAGTTTACAGCATTACAACATAAAACATAAGAGACTCTGCGTCACAGCAATGCAAAATCCGCACAGGCATGTTTTTCTTCAGTTCTGATTACAGTGGTTTATATTTGTATGTGTTTTGAGAATACAACCATGACATATGGTTGTTAATATAACAATGGCGGTCCAACACGCGCGCTCGGCGGCATCGTCGGTAACCGCCGGCCGTCCGCGCCGGCCGTAGATCCCCGTTGTTCTAAAAAAACTGACGCTGCTCCGAAATGACAAAGCTAGATATACGTGTATGATGTGAAAATATGTGCAATGGGCGTCCCATGTGCTCCCGGAACGATAGGCGCGATTGAAAAATATTCTGGACTCAAAAGCCTTAGAGGGCTTGCATTGACTCCTCCCTTTAAGGCCGAATTTCTGGGTATGCCGTTGCCCAGGAACAGGTAGCAAGGAATGCTCCTCCCTCTATCCCAGCGACACAATGAACCGTACATTAAAACCAGAAAGCACAAGATCAAGTAGCAGCACTCCCAGCTAAAGAGGAAAGTAACAAAAAAGGCAGCCAAAGAGGTGGTACAAACCCGACAAGAATCCTGTTACGCAACAGGCAATGACAAATCATACATGGTGTAGCTTAAAATAGTCATACCCAAAGTCAGCTAATGACAGCCCGCTGGAACTACCCAATTAGCTAATACCGCTCATTCACAGCGTATGTCAGGATAGTACAGTCACACAAGTCGGAGGGGCAATCAACTGGTCATTTTCGTGCTGGGTTTTGAGCTGGATGTCCAGGGAATCCACCCCGCTGAGCTTAGCTTATTGCTGCTAAAACTCCCGGAGTCAGCGCCATGAATTTGAGTACAAGTCCATGAATATGGCTATATCAGAGCGCGATTATAGACATGAAGGAAGCTATGTATAAAGTGAGTTACATACGTACGGGGCAAACAATTTGCAATGTCCTCAAAAAAGTTGGTTACGTTAATATGCATTCACGAAATGCTTGCGGACGATGTCCTCAACGCCGAATTTTGATCCGGAGACATCAGTAATTCCTGGTAAATATGAAACCATAATATCGCTCTACAGCTTAGAGCTAAGGCAAGATGTTGTAAATGACCTATAATCACGACTAGAGAAAGGGTGATCTAAATGTTTTACTCGCCTCATATCCATTTCATCTGATTCGTAGAGCTTGTCTCTTGAATCGAATGATGCAGGTAACTGGTAAATAAAAATTTTGTGCATCACAATTAACATTTCGGATATAGCGATATCCGAGAATTTTACAATTTTATGCTGTTTAAAGATCGGCTCGGAGCCTTGAGGAGTGTACATGTCTTTTATCCGACACATAGCACTTTTTGAAAAATTACTGACCAACATAGTTGAGAAGCATGATTAACACCTGAGATCAAGCAGCAGTAGTTGAAATAAGAAAGAATTAAAGTGTTTTAGAGTAGATGTGACGTTGTTTTATCTGTGAAGTAACCAATCCTTCTAATGGTTCTAATATTTCCACTTCATATGCTCCCAACAAAAGTAATGTGAAGCGTAAATTTAAAAGATTTGTCAATGAGCGCACCTGGATATTTCAATTATTTTTTCTCTTCAATAGATGAAGTGTGAAGTTGTGCATCCAGTTGGAAATGTGAGAAGAGGGTGGTATAGTGCTGCGTAAATGAATTTGATACGTCGAGTGAAAAATTGGCATAAAAACTAGAAGTCATTAAAATAGAAGCGCATTGACATTGTTTTGAGCCTCCAGGTTTAAGCGATTTCACTGTTGCATGTTATCACCCTCTTTCGATAGCCCAAACCCAGGGTGACTTAGCTGCGTTTCACTCATAAGTTAACTGCATCTGATTTGATGATGCATGTATTCATGCATTTGGAATACGAAGAAAGCAGGTTACTGTGTGTCACCTTGTAACAGAAGTGTCGGGGAGCATGAGACAGCTGTTGTACCTAGACATACATAGCTCCATGGAAACCTTGCGCAAGTATTGCCATCTCAGTGGCCATGTAATGTATTGGCCATGGCCATGTATTGTATCTCAGTGGCCATGTATTGCTCAATGTCTACACAAATATGATCATCGAAGTAATCAACTACGGTGTACGTCAGCGCAATTTATGGCACCAACGGACATCAGTTGGTGTGTTCGGTACAAATTTTGAACACTTGCCACTTTTTGTGTAAGCCAATACGTAAGCTCGGCCAAGGTCAGTGTTAGAGTGAAAACATGGCCAGTCTCTTCGGACGTCATAAAGCCACTTTATGAAGTAACAAACGATGCATGTTCAGGAACACATTTACGAGTTAGCGAATTTGTGTTGTTTGGAGCAGCATTTTATGCTTAAAAGCAAACCCATAGTTACACTTGAGCTTATTTTATCATAGCTCAAACTTTCTTCGTTATCTTCAAATGAGGAATATTTCCTTTAAGACCTCAAGCAAATATAGGCATTCTAGTCTGGTAGGTTCTTACATCCCGTTAGTGTGATGTAGTGGTATCTGTCTAGCAACGTAGAGTATTTTCGGCATGTCGTAAGGTGAAGGAAACCACAATCGTGACATCGACGTTATGATCTGCATCCACGTCTGCGGGTTGCTGACGTCACAGTGAACCGTCCCGTTCTGAACTGATGGGCGTGGATGAAGGACACGCCCATGGCCGCAGACGAGACGAGCGGTGCACGGTCGGTCCGCCGCCGGGCACGGCTCCGCCCTGGACCGCCTATATAACACGTGCGGCATATTCAGCGAGCACAGTCAGGCCTCGTGCGGTGGGAAACATGAAGGTTCTGGTGAGTTAAGCCGCTACACACTGACGGTGTAACAGCTGATAGGACACTCGTCCCCGGTAGCCTTTTGTCTTTGTATAAGATCATGTGGCTTAGCATACTGATGTGATCTATGGTGTTGTGAAGGTAATGGTAAAAAGATGATGTGACGCATTGAAACTAAAACGTAATTATGTCTCGCCTACTAAGAAATGTGCGTTTGAATGAGATGACATTGCGTTGATACTTCCCACTTCACCCTCACTCTCTGGCATTGCTTTACTATGATCCGTTAGTTTTTTTTTAGTTCGTTTTGCTTTCCAGTATCGCTTTAACACTAGGTATATAGCAAAACAGTAGGATTCTGTGGCCTCCGTAGACACACTTAAGGCGCTGCTCGTTTCGGTGCAATGCGATCAAGTGTTACTCGAAAATCAGCAGGCGTCCACTGTTAAATCCAACTGCCCTCGTTCCCCCAGGTCGCACTGTCCGCTGTCCTGGCGCTGGGCGCTGCCCAGTACTCGCCGGTTGGGTACCCGTACTCCGGGTACAGCCCGGTGAGCTACTACGCCGCCGGCGCGTACAACCATTACGCCCCGACGGCGTACAGCGCGGCGCCAGCCGCTGCCGTCAGCTCGCAGTACCACGCTCAGGATGAGCTGGGCCAGTTCAACTATGGCTACGCCGGAGGACCGTCTGCCAAGAACGAGTTCAGGAGGTTCGATGGCGCCACCGTTGGCAGCTACAGCTACATAGACGCCAACGGCAAGGTGCAGACCGTCTCCTACACGGCCGACGATGTCAACGGCTTCCAGGTGAAAGCGACCAACCTTCCTGTGGCCCCGGAGGCAAACCTGCAGGCGCCCGTGTTCAACCTGGAGGCGCCCGTGTTCGACGGCGTGGCTCCCGAGCCGGTGCAGGACACGGCCGAGGTGGCCGCCGCCAAGGCCGAGTTCCGCAAGAAGTACGCCGAGGCGGCGGCCGCTGCCGCCGCTGCGCCCGACACCGACGCCCCGGAGGCTGCCGAGGAGGAGGCGGCCGTCGCCCCTGCCGAGCGTCGCCGTCGCAGCGCTGTGCTTCTGCCCGCCCTGGCCAAGGCCACCTTCAAGACCGCAACTCTGGATAAGGTGGAGGCCGACACCCCGGCCGACACCACCCTGCTGAAGGTCACCGAGAAGGAGCACGAGACGTACGTGCCCAGCGTGGTCTCTTACGCCGCCCCCGCCGTCCACTACACCACCCCCGTGGTCTCCTACGCTGTCCCCGAGGTGAAGAAGGTTGAGGTCAAGCATGTGGCCTCTCCCATCACATACGCTGCCTCTCCTCTTCCCCTGGCCTATGGCCTGCACCCGTACGGCTACGGTGCCCCTCTCATCTACAACGTGGAGGCTAAGGAGGAGACTGCCGCTGTCGAGGAGGCTGCCGAGGAGGAGCCGGCCGTCGTCGCCGCCGAGCGTCGCCGTCGCAGCGCCGTGCTTCTGCCCGCCCTGGCCAAGGCCACCTTCAAGACGGCCACCCTGGATAAGGTGGAGGCCGACACCCCGGCCGACACCAGCCTGCTCAAGGTGACTGAGAAGGAGCACGAGACGTACGTGCCCAGCGTGGTCCCTTACGCCGCCCCCGCCGTCCATTACACCGCCCCGGTGGTTTCCTACGCTGTCCCCGAGGTGAAGAAGGTTGAGGTCAAGGCAGTCCCCATCACCTACGCTGCTAACGCCTTCGCCTACGCTGCTCCTGCCATCACATACACCACCCCCGTGGTCAAGAAGGTTGAGGTTAAGCACGTGGCCTCTCCCATCACGTACGCTGCCTCTCCTCTTCCCTTGACCTATGGCCTGCACCCGTACGGCTACGGTGCCCCTCTCATCTACAACGTGGAGGCTAAGGAGGAGACTGCCGCTGTCGAGGAGGCTGCCGAGGAGGAGCCGGCCGTCGTCGCCGCCGAGCGTCGCCGTCGTAGCGCCGTGCTTCTGCCCGCCCTGGCCAAGGCCACCTTCAAAACAACCACTCTGGATAAGGTGGAGGCCGACACCCCGGCCGACACCACCCTTCTCGAGGTCACCGAGAAGGAGCACGAGACGTACGTGCCCAGCGTGGTCTCTTACGCCGCCCCCGCTGTCCACTACACCGCCCCCGTCGTTCGCTACGCCGTCCCGGAGGTGAAGAAGGTCGAGGTCAAGGCGGCCCCCATCACCTACGCTGCCTCTCCCCTTCCCCTGACCTATGGTCTCCACCCGTACAGCTTCGGCACTCCTCTGATCTACAACGTGGAGGCCAAGGCTGCTGAAGTCGAGGAGAAGGCTGAATAAACAGTTTTTCCATCTAAACATTGAACGGCAGACAGCTGCATTCGTTACATGTCTTGTCCTGTCTTCCATGCTGCAGCGTCCGTTGTTCCAGTTGATGACATGTGTCCATGTGTGATATGCTTCGGCCATTACCCGTCGTGATTGCACCATTCGTCATGCTTCCAGTAACTGGGAATACAAGGTTCACGTCCTATGTACTCCATTGTTTTATCTCGCTGCAGAGCTTGTGCGAAGGCGACGGTAGTTTTGATAGCGGATGTAAAAAAATAAAACAATGCTATCACGTAGTAATATGAAAAGCCTTTGCTGATGGACCCACATCCTCAATGTGGAAGGTCAAACTATAGCATAACGTGCCAATGCCAGACCCACATAATAAGATGTAAACCGCATGTGACCAGACCATTCTTAAGTGTGTTATTTTGTATCATAGATCCCTTACAAGGTAGCCAGATGGGTTCAATGGAATGCGCGTTTTTGATGGTAGGCAACCAAGCCGAGGCGGTAGCGCTCTTGCACAACTAAGGAAATCAATTGAATGCTTCCCACTAGATGTCTCTGGTGACTGGGATTCCGTCCGCCACTGCCGAACGCACGTTTCGAGCTAATCGTTCCATCGCTCTGACAATTTCCAAAGAATGCGTATAGTTCTTGCTACATCTTCTGTGGATATTGTCAGCATGTCCATTACTAGGAAATGTACTTCCACCAACATGGGGCACCTAGTTTGTCCTTAAGGGCTAAGGGAAACTTTCTTTTGATATCGTTAGCCTTATGTCCATAAACTCTCCTCTTTTCATCGATTTATATCCTCTGACGACTGTAGCTGACCTTGCCAGGCGTAACACAAAAGTCTGCCTCTTTTACTTCCAGCACGCCATGATAAGAAAAAAGCATTGGTCTTAACAGACCCGAATGAGTAACCTACAAGCCCCAATGGCGTACCTAGGAACGCATAAAACGTAATGTTTCATCAGCATGTGAATAAGGCAAGAACTAGCTATTAAGATTTAATGGAGCACTAGAAGGCCGGATGCAAACTTGTTTTTATGTGATACGTAAGTTAGGAGCATTTTAAGGTCGGAGCTTGCATTAGCATACCGCTTTGACAGCTCTGAAAAGCGTTTTTGTGAGCTTGCGCTGTGAGCGTTTAGGTGTGACCTGTTCTAGGGAGCAAGGATTGGCCCACGACAGGTACAGTTGCACCTGGCAATGAAATGCATTAAAAGATAAGACGCTCGGAGGAACAGTCTGATTTCTAGCAATAGGAGACCACATGAACCCACAAGCCTGGACCTGCGTTTCTTAAAATCCAGCTACGCGCGCAATTCAGTTAGCTCCAGTTTGAAAATATTGCAAAATTTTCCAACTGGAGCACGTTGAGTCGTGTACCTAACACATAAGGAATAAGGAGAGTGCACGTTACATAAGGAACCCGCATAGAACTTTCCCACGTAACACACGAAGATCAGTTGGGTGATCGCTGCTTTCTTGCAATACCCATGGCTGCATTTCATCGCTTTTTGACCATGTGGCCATTTTGGTCTTGCCTGAGATCTCTTGGCTGACATAAATTTCAAAAGCTGTGAATACGACACACATGACACAGCCGGGCGCGGTTTAAAGTGACTTTTTTGAGCATTTAGAGCAGACGCGAAAGCAGGTGGAGGCAGGTCTAATCGGGGTCTTGTCGAAGTACAATACAAATATTTTCTTTGCAGGCATAGGTACACTTCAGACTAGGTCGCAAGACATGATTTAGGCTTTTTAGTGTGGCCATGAAATCACTGCTGCGCAAGGATGAATTTGGGAAAATTTAGAAAGAAGAAAGCTGTTGTCCTGCGGCCCAGGACACGTCGACCGGTGACTTACAGCCTCACGGACGCACCTTGGTTCCAAGGAAAATCACAAGCGGTAACCACGCAAGCGACATTATCAGGTGTACAGTGGTAGCTTAGTGCTAGAAAATGTGCTGTAAACAAACTTTGTTCAAAAGTTGATGAAAAAATAGAGATTGAGAAGCGCTAAAAACTAGACATGGAAAAGGATTACGTAAATGAGTATTTTACCACGCGGTATTAATATCATTCTTTGGGCCATACAGGCACTTCTTCAATTGCGTCTTCAAAAACACAAAAGTTGTGTTCGTCACGGAGCTGTGCTGCCAAAGCGTTGTCAAAATGATAGTAAATATTTCGTGACATCACCTGGTTTGCTCAGCTGCGTGCAAACGCAGTCTCTCTAGTAAAAAGACAAGATATCGTTCGTGAACTTTGCAATAAGTTTTGCTTTCATGCGCTCCCTACAGTTTGGTGACGTCACTGGTGCCGAGTACAGTTTGGTGACGTCACTGGTGATGCGGGGCAGCCAGAGCATCGGAAGTCCTCGCACAGATCATGGCCAAATTGCTAGGGGAAGTTGTACATGATTTGCAGGCGATTACAAATAATCCAATGGCGAATATGATGGCAGGGGTGGTAAAAGTGTACTTTTGTCACCGAACAAATTTTGGAAAAAAATTGTCGCCAGCAGCGTAATGTGATGCCAGATGGCAAAATGGTCATCAAGTCCATGCCCAGTAGCGCCATCAGTAATCAGCCTGTAAACGAAAGTCTCTCCATTCACGGCACATTTCAATACCACACACGTAACCGAAACGTTCAGTCATACACTGCCCTTGAACAAGCGTCGGGATAAGTGCTGCTGCTAAGAAAGCAGGCGCACCTGCGCTAGACTAATGAGATAGCCCAGTAACAACACGCGTTTTCTTCCACCCCCGGGCCTTGCCGGGGCATGTCGCCGAAATATCAATTAAAGTTTATCTCCATTCTCCGGGTTTTTCCGAGGAAAAAGGCTAATACTACTGTCTTGCCTATGTGAATCAATCTCCTCGTTAATGCACTGAACAACTTGCAGGATGGATTACTGATAAAAATATGTGATATGGTTTTGAATATGCGCGCTCGTAAGTCCTAGAAACAACAGCTTTACGCCCAGCGTTGAAGTCTCCATGAACCGCGCGGCGGAGGCCTTGCGGCTGACACTAAGCGATGGCCAATGGGCAAACGAAAAAGATGGTGCATTTCGAGGAAGCTGGCTGCTGAAATATGTAAGTCTCCATGTATGCTTATGTAGTGCAAAAGTAAGCTAAACACAACCTTAATCTGAAAAGAGGGGGGGGCAATTAACACTGCTGGCCTCTCACCATGAAAAGTAGGGGGGGGGGGGGGGGTGGACCCCCTGCTCCCTCTGCTCCTACACACATGACATTAACGCAAAACCATCTTCTCTGGACCTAATCTATTGACCATGATCCATGGGTTACTATCTCCCCCTAATCATGCATACAAATTGGCACTTATCACAAATTGGCACTTACACAAATTGTCATTATGCCATCATCAAACAAACTATGTTGATTTCTTCTATCAATGCAGGCTACGTTTACGGCAGACTATCTGCCTTCACAGCCTGTACTTAAATGTATACAGTGATTATGCTATTGGTTCCATTAGGACGATTTAACAATCCAGTCTTAACAAAAACAGCAATGAAACACACCATATTTGCATCCATGCAATGTCGCACTCACAAGTGCAACGAAAATATGCACATGAATGAGCATTGCAGAGCGAATGACTTCCAGAGTTTCGTATTACAGTAGGGATGCTATCATCAGGAAATAGCCAACATTGTGCTCAGAGACAAACAAATGCCAACCCTTCATTGAACTCATAGGACAGTTGGGCCACAATACCATAAAACCACCTGTTATTTGAAGTAAAACTCTCGGTAGAGGGGAAGGTGGCAATGAAACCTGTACCACCCCTATCTGCTCATTGCGTGTATTTCCTACACACGCCGCTCTACTCCTTACTTGCACTGCACTTGCGTGGCCCACATCATTGGGTATCAAATAAACTTCCAGCAACCAAGACTCACGTTTGCGCCACGTCAAGGTTGGACTGTGAATGATGGTTTAAAAGTTTTTAAAACATTGATGGAATAATTGCATTTCGAGCAGGGGCATAGTTTTTCAAACTAGGTTTGGGAGTAGCAAACATTATGCATTGTACCCTCAAAGTATGGATGTCTTCAAGATTTGCACACATTTTCAGGGGCGGATCCAGTATTTCGGCAAGGGGGTCCACGAGATATTGTGGGCCCCGTCCCTCAAAAGTATCCTTGCATTTCTGTCATAACATTTTACGACAAGTGGCTTGTAATGCATGCATGCATATATATATATATATATATATATATATATATATATATATATGTGTGTGTGTGTGTGTGTGTATATGCATGTATATGTTTACTTCTTTATTTATCTACTAAATACGGAAACCCGTCTTACTGCGTACAGCCCCATAAAACAGAGGCGTGCTACGCATTCATGCGCATAGAGCTCACTCATTTTCTACGGAGCATTTCAAATGCTGTGGTTTTGAGGCTAAGTGTTTCGGATCAGCATGCAAAATAAACTTGAGTTTGCTGATAACAATCATCAAAACCAATCATCCGCTTGATTCCTAGCTTACGTATTTACGGCTAGCCGGCTGGGCGATGCAATCAGCTGATGGCTGAAGATTCGTGCAGAATTGTTCATTTGCTTTTGAGGAGTTCAACATATGAATGCTTTAAAAGTATGTTAAGAACATGATGCACTAGTATAATAGGTGTCACACACTAAATAGGCAATGGAAATGATGCATATGACGTCGGCGGCATGTAAAATTACGTCCGGCTATCGCGCATAGAAGTTCATCTGCGCATATTCGACTGCTGCTCTAAGGCGAAGGCTCCAAGACCAATAGGGACGGAATCTGAGCAATCATGGGTGCCGCAGGAGGCCAACAAAGTGGCTCTTGTCAATAAGTGTAGGGCCCTTAGAGCAAGCAAAAACGCATCAGTTACTCCTGTAAACGCAAGAGTGCAGGTAATCCTGCGGATATCACGGTCTTGGCACTATCGCCAACTTTTGCGGAAGGTCCCTCCGA